TAGAAATCGCAGCAAAAATTGCAAGTGTAAACGGGCCTTTAGCAGGGGCGTAGCCATGGGGGGGGGGGGGCAATCGTCGAATACACAGAACTAGGGGGTTCGTCTGCCCAGAGGCAAGATCCCTCGGGGGCTACGAAAGGCTATTTCATGCATTTTAGACACGTTTTATGATAATCCAAAGATTTGGTATATTTGATCATAGATGAAAGTGAGGTCATCCCCCTCCCCAGTTTCTCCTGGAGGAATTACAAAATTGGTCTTAAAGAAAAGTGGGGTGGGGTTTGCCCCCATTGTTCCCCGTGGCTACGACCCTGGCCTTCAGGAAAAAATATAACTCATTATTATGTGCTGCATGAGTGACGTCGCCATTACAGGCAATCACAACGGTAGAATTGCATTGTTAAAAATAAGGAACAATTTGTGGTTACAACATGTATTTAATTTAATTCTGAACTTTCGGCCCGTGTACTCGGGCCTAGAGTGCGTCGGTAAACCTACATACCGTTAGTGTCGCGTGCGCAAAACGGTATCTAGGTTTACCGACGTAATCTAATGTTCATTCTTTCTCCGAAGACGACCCGAGTACACGGGCCGAAAGCTCAGAATTAAATTAAATTAAATACAAATTGTTCCTTATTTTTACTATGAACGCCATGCAAAGCTTTAAAGAAAACAATTATATTGTTACTGAAATACTCTAGACGTATATTTATTTTTATATTATCGCCATATTTAACAAGGCAGGCACGGTTTTGGAATGGAGTATTTTAGTCAAATACTTAACATGCCTTACTGTATTTGCATAATTAAAAATTTAAGGTTTTTAATTAGCCACTTGGTTTGGCCCGTGTTCCACACAAATTTGCCTGACCTATGGAAAAAGCAGCAAAATCTAAGTTGCTGTACAAATTTCTATATTTCACACGGCATTAAAATATGAAGCATTTTTCTAAACTCGATAATCTGGGTTTTTGGCAGCGGTTTAGTTGAAAACAGGCCTATACATTAGAGTTTAGTAATACTGGCTGGGGTCGTGTCCGTATCTCTACTTCCTCAGATACAGTATTCCACCCCTATATTATCAGTACTTCGCCCTCTCTGGTACTTAAAACGCTCTGACATTGTTAAGATTTTCCTAAAATTGTCATCGCTTATTTTCTCGAAGGATGTAATGTCAAGGAAACTGGATGTGCCATTCAAAGACAAAGAACAAAGGGACAAGCATACCGTAGAGTGATAGATGACGACACGTGCCCAACAGAAGCTGCGAAGATACAGATGTACGGTTTGTCGATATGTTATTTTTGTTATTCACAATCAAAAAGTTGCAATAATATTGCAGTTCTTAATTTTAAGTATGTCGACTAGGAAATAAAATTAAATTGGACATTTATTTTTTTGTAAGTTGTTTTTTAACGTGAATTAATTAATTTTTCTCATTATTTTATGGTGGCTTACGTGAAATTGAGCGCATTTGTTACCTACTGGATGGATGGATGGACGTGTTGTGATGTCCCATGAAGCGAGTACATGCCAACCATGATGGAACCATCGACAGAATGACGAACCGTGACCAACAGAAGCAAAAATGCAGATGTACATGTAAGTTTTGTTGATGCAATTCGTGTTGGAAATAATGTAATACATATTTTACTCATCTTATTATTAGCATGACAATATTACTGGATGCTGATTGGATGAGAGGAGTACAATTATTTCATTATTTCAAACAAAATGGCGGGAAGGTATTCTAAACACAAATGTGAAATGAAATGAAAATACGAACAAAAGCACCAAATTTTGGTTGAAAGTCTTGCAGGACTAGACTTTGGCGAGAGAATATGATGTTGACATTGAGAAGTATCCAATTTTCTCATCGTGTGCTAATAATAAACAAGTAATCATGCGATGTTACTCGTACAATTAGGGATTAATAGTACTCGTGATGTTTGGAAATTTTCTAAATTGGACTCGCCCCAGCGGCTCGTCCAATTTTGGCAAAATTTCCAAACATCACTCGGCGTCGCATGATTACCTATACTCTTTCTCATTGGTACTTTTAATTCTTTGAGATTAGCCACACCCTTTTATGTACCTATGCAATTTGTTTTTAATTAATACGAATTTTAGCATTTAACATTATTCTGCATGTAGTCCTATCCTTACGTATAAGAACTAAATGTTTCCAACCACATCCTCCTTACGGATATTTAATCTATTATCTAATGGAAATGTTCTTTTGTTTAAAAAAAAGGATTTGATGAGGTGTGAAGAAGAATCTAGCCAAAGACTGTGGAACGACCAGGTACAACGTGGAACGAGCAGATGAAGGCCTACATACAACCAACAGATCCTGCAACATTGCCAAGATCTAGATACATGCTTTGTCAATGTTAATTAGGTAAGACAAAATACTTTCCTACAAATCAAAGAGGATTCTCATTAAAAACTGAATAACCTACTTGGCAAACATGCATGCATAGCCGTAGGGAAGGAAAATTAGGGGGACCGCCGCCGGACAAATTCTTGCCCGACTCACGAAAATTTTTCGACCAATACAAAAAATTTCAGTTATGAGCGGAAATTTTTCGACACATCAATTATGCCATTTTCACAACATATTACATATTTATCTATATATAAATATAAGCGCTATATTGCAACATATGTTAACGATGTAGTCATCAATAATTCATGAGAAAAACAGAACGGAAACAATCGCATATCTGATAAAAATTTCGGTTTATTTGCATGTTAAAGACAGTTTTTGTTGCCAAACATCGTCGTGTTAAACGATTATTTATACAAACAACATTTGCATCTATGATGTGATGGCTAATTTATTGTAATTATTATCTAATGGAATGTTTTCTTTATTGTAATTATTATCTAATGGAATATATTCTTTTAATTTCAAAAAGTGATTTGATGTGAAGAGTCGGTGATCCATGCTAAAAGATGTCAAGCTCTCCAGAAAGCAGAATGAACAACACGCGGATGATTTGGACCCAAGAAAAGAAAAACAATTTGCAACAATCAGAAACAACGAATTGCTAATACGAAAGTATAGTGAAATTCTTAACAATGTAAGTTAGAGACAAGATACTTAGAAATCAAAGGGGATTCTAGCGAATACAATTGTTTCTTATTTGAAAAAGGAAAAAGTAGACCAAATTTCATGGCATGAAATTTCGTATGAGTTTGGCAATATTATGAATCGAAAATAACTTTTTTGTTTTATTTTTAATTTTCGACAATCCGCAGATTTGGAAGAACTGAAAACTTAGGCCAAATATTTGGATAAAATTATTTTGAACTGTTTACAAATAAAAATATACGATTAAATTTGACATTAAAGATGAAAATTTTAAAAGCACGAGTCTTGCTTGGAATATTTTTATTGTAAAATAAACATGGATGAGAACTTTCGAAGTTTCACAAAAGTAATTTTAGTGGACGTCTCTGTTTTTTCATTGCCAATGTCGATAAAAAATTCTCGTGCTTGCACCTATACATGTTTATATTCTGTTAACTATATATGGGTTAACCGTTAAGTTAGAAAAGTCTTGTATTCATAATGACATCAACATATGCTAAACTGAACAAGCAAAAACAAACAAATTATTTCATCATTAAAAATAATATATGCCAATACAGAAAATAATAGTCAATACCGTGTTTTAATTCGCATGGGAATATACTACCTAAGTGTAAAAACACTAAAGTTATAAACTTTTTTTCGTATTTTTAATTCCGACGGGAATATACTATCCTTTATTAGTGCGAAAAATACTAAAATTATCAAACTTTTTTTCCCTATTTTTAATTCCCATGGGAATATACTATCCTTTGTTTTCAAGCTAATTTGAGTTAATACAAGTGTGAAAAACACTAAAATTATCAAGTAATTATTTTTTTTCGTATTTTTAATTCCCATGGGAATATATACTATGCTTTGTTTTTTTACGCTGATGTTGATTTCATAGTGGAAACTTGACTTTATAATGAATCCTCTTTGATTAAATATGATAAGTATCTTGTGACTTGCGGGTTTGAGAGCAGCTGCGACGTACCATGCAAATGAAATAAGGTGTTCCGGTTAAATGAGTATGAGAATTGCGGATAAGTTCTTTAATATTTCGATGCATATGCACTATATAGATAAACTGTACTATATATGGTCGTTAAAACACGGTAATTTCCGTTTGCATGGATTCAAAATCCAATATAGTTCAATAGCTAAAGACAATTAAGTATTCTTTCTTTTTAACCAAATGCGGCATTTGATGACAAATAACTTGACTTAAGACAGTTTTACATTTAAAAATTCAAAACAACTCTATGCATTCTCATGCTTATTTAATCGAGGTTTAGGTAAGTTTACGGTTTATATTTACTTCGGACAATTGACAAAACTTAAAGCCCATGCCCTTTCAGTTAAGGTTTTACGTTTCGAACCTGAATCCAAAACTCAGTTTAAGTGGGTTATAGGATAGCTAGTGATATACGTAATTTATCTTTTTATTTTGCTTTTTTTGTTTATAACGTAATTTATTAGCTAAATGTATGGAGTGCGAGAGTGTACGCCGTGTGAATAGGATGCATGGGGTTAGGCTAAACTAAAGGAATTAAAATTTTGAGAGCATATATTTAAAGAGAAAATACATCTTTTCTGAGCAAAACAACTAATTTCCTAACATCAGCAAAATTTGTCGAGTTTCGTTATTTTTAACCTAAAATTATAGTCTCGTGGTAAAATATTTAGAAGAGGAAAATCCGGGTTTCGAGGTTTCATGTATTTTTGCTATGTATTGAAATTCATATATAGAGGCTGAGGCAAGCAATAAACTCACCTGTTTGTATATGCGGTCTTTCGTAATCGTCAACCTTTAATTTATCTGTTTACGTTTGGCCTAAAATATCCGAATTAATTCAATTAATTATGTATACTTTACCGAAATTTTAATTCCTTCAGTTTTTGAAGGGCGGCAGTTCGGGCTGGGGGTGGGTTGGGCAGTTGTGAGTGTCTGTGTGATGGTGAGGAAAGCGGAAGTTACGAATGGAATGCAGGTAGCTTAGGACCGAGGCAGACAGCTTAGGACCGAGGAAGACAGCTTAGGACTGAGGCAGGTAGTCAGTTGGTAGGAATCCGTGGGGGGCACTTGTCATTTTCGGCCATGGGACTCAAATTTGCATGCTAAGTATTTGTTACTAACATTTGTTGTTTTACATATTTGTCAGGTATGCGCGTGGCTGCTCTCAAGAGAAGATCAACTTAGCAATTTGCATTAGCATTTGCAAGCTTGGTCTTCTCTTTGCCCCGCTACCCCGGCTGGCTCTCCGAGTGCTATCTCTACTTTAAGTAGAAGTACTTTTAAGTAGAGTGCTTCTGCTTGAAGTAGAGGTGGTACTTGGGGAGCCGGCCGGGGTAGAGGGATTTTTTTTATTTTTTTTTTCAATTCCCATGGGAATTGAATTTTTAATTAAAAAGGAGTCTCTTGTATAATTAATGAACAATTTATTGAAAAGAACTTGTAATTTTACAATTTGAATAACAATAAAAAGAGAACAACCACTGCATACTGTACTTATTTAAATAACAATAGAAGAAAACAGAACATGGCACAAAGACACAATTAACATTGTGTTCAACACAAGTGAATAAACACAACATTAAAAACACCTTGTTTGCCCGCGAATTAACATTAAAAACGTTAACTCTTGAGGAAACAAGAGGAACTTGGTCTTTTCATGATAAATGTTTATACTTCAAGATAAATAATTGTGAAATAACTGTAAGTGATAAATTTTACGAGTTTACCGAGTTATTTCATAATTACAAAGAAAATATATGGCTCAAATTAAGTAAAACCGAACATGCTTTTTTATTCTTTTTTATACGCATGCACTAACTGGTTTTGGTAAATTGACAGCAATATTCACTGAGTATGGAAAGTAATTATTTTGTCGTACTGTTTTGATGTTTAAATAAATAGACTATAGAGTTGGAATTGAGGTCAATTATCAAGTCGTTGGGACGACATTAGCCATGAGAATACCATGCATATATTCAAAGTACCTTAAACATTTTTGACAATTGTCAATGCCTTGGCAACATAATTTAATTAAACTCAAAAATGAAATTTTCAAATTGTGGAAACATTAAATTATTACTTCCATACTCAATTGAATACACAATTTACTGTGTATATAGAAAAATATATTTTCTATCGATAAAAATTAATTTATTTTGAAGTGCCAAACGTCTATAAGAAATTCTTTTGGAGCCATATATTTAATTTTTAACTGTGTTTTTTTTTAACCTGACAACTTTGAATAGATTAAACGTAATGTTAATACCATTTCAAGTGATGAAAATGCATTTAAAAATATCTAAAATTTTTAATTTGATTGATTATCAACAAAAACATCATGTATTGATTTTTAAAGAAATATCCTCATTCATGAAAACCAAACATTGTTATACAACATTGCTTGTCCCTAGGGACGTTGGTAAATGCAATAAAAAAATATATCAGACTTATAGTCTTTAGATACAAAACGCTAGTTTACTTTACAATTTTTAGCAACCCATTTTCTAGCAAAAATTTAAGCTTCAGGAATTATTTTTGATGAAAACATGTAGTGACCATAATGGGTACACAGAATCTGGTTGAACAAAGATTTAAAATCTTCAAAAATTTTTTTTGTGTTTTTTAAAGGGCAAACTCTTCATTTGGAATAAAAAGCTTATTAATTTACATAATTCAAAACAAGAGTTTAAGGTATATAGAAATATTGATGATGTTACTCAAAACTAAAACTAGACAAATTTGACCAAAATAGCTCGAAACCCTATATGAGGACATCTTTGATCACCAAATATAATATAGTGCTTTTGGTTTAAAAAAAATTTCCATACAATCCCTAATTTCTCTTCCAACAAACAAAATATCATATTGCACTTTAATCAAATTGTAGTATGAACGTTAAAACAAACCAAACAAAAATACTGGTTGAACGGATGAAATTTATTTGCAGAGCAGAAATTTTGACTACGAAATAAAGATGGCATTTTAGTCAAGTTTTGATAGCAATGTTGTCAGGTTAAAAAAAAAACACATCTCTTTGAAGTATAAACTTACCTTCACTTACTGGTTGAAAAGACCATGTTCAGATGCCATGTAAACCTGTTTTCTTATATTATTATTATGACTATTATAAGATACTGTTACAAAGTGGAACTATTTGAAAGTTGAACTGAAGCCAAGGAAACGAAAATATGAAAATTAACAAATTACAGTAATTTCAATTGCCAAACATGAATTAACAACAATCAGACAATAAAAAGTTAAAACAAAAAATATTTCAAAGAATATCTCGTAAGCTCAAAAATAAAAATTATTTACTTGTTTTGACTTGTATTTTCATTTTACAACATGTTAGTCTTGGATTAACAGTTTGTCTTAAACCAGAATGAAAATATTTCTTTTAATTCGAAAGACATTTTAGTATACAACCACAAGAGCCTGGCTGATGCTCTCTGCCTCACACGAGTCATGAAGAACAAAGGCAAAAGATTAGCAAATTAGGCATGGAAACGAAGCTCCTGTACCAAGAACTGAGATTTAGATTATAATTACCACTAGGGTGTATTCAATTACAGTAAGTCCTGAAATTATTTGAAAATTCTTTGAATGAAATATGTCAGGCATTTGACTTGAGTGAAATTAAGTATAATAGTTTGTCATAAAGACTAACAAATTTTGTTTCAAGTTTGCTCAGATTGTATATGTGTCAGCTTTGTACAACTATTTACTGCTATATATTTTCATGTAATTCTAATTCCCACATATCGCTCATGTTTGTTATTTACTTATCATTGCTACCTATACTGGCACCAACTGTTTGAAATTGTATGGTCTGACAGTACAATCATGATTAGCTTTTCCTTGCATTAGTATTAACTTATTTTGTTCAAGAAGTATTGAAACCCTAATGGCTAAAAGTGGTTATTTATGAAATTATAACCACATTTTACCAAACAATTATACACTTTTGAATACTTTTCATTGGTTTTTTCTTTGCCACAAATTGACATATTCCGAAAATCATCAACTTCGTCCGGTTGTGGTTTTCTTTGCTGTGTGATGACAATCACTTTTCTTTTAGTTTTACTATCTCACATTACCCCCCAAATTCAGTATACTGTACAGTAGTGTAGTCTTGCTGCTTCAGTTCATCCGTATTCAAACAAGTCCACTTTGTAAAAAGGTAAAGACAATATGCTGGCTTATTTAGACTCCAACTGTTTGTTTTAAAGTTGGAAAAGTTAAAATTTAAAATCACAATATTCGTTTCAAAGTTCAAATGTGCTGTTAAAAGCCACGTACAATCATTTGCCAAAGGAATCAAATAACGTACAACTGAAGTTTACAACCCCCCATAAGTCAACACTGTATAGAACTGCCTTGTTCCTCAACAAATCCATTTTATTTGTGTCCAGGAATAATCAAACTCATGTATTAAGAGTGTGCTGGGGTAAATAAGACAAGACTATTAAACAACGAGGCAGTTCTAACAGTGCTAATTTAAAAGGTGTTGTATACTGCAATTGATCCAAAATTGCTTGTTCCAAGATTTAATATTTAAAGGCTCTAATAACATCTAGAACCTAAATGTGATTTCAAACAAACTTTCTTAACTGTCAAACAAACACTTGAAGTCTGCTTAAAACAAAAGAGGATTAAGATGGTACTTCAGAAACCAAAATTAACTTTTATTCACAATGCATTTTGATAAACAAGTTCAAGTTCATTGTTCATTTTCATGTTTCAATGGGAACATGCTTCAAATGACTAAAAACACAGAATATGAATTCAATGGTGACTTGAACATACATGTTTTATCTGTAAGGGAATGTTTCTTATAGAACCATCTCAATCTTCTCACTGTTTAATTGATGTTGCAAAGCCAAATAATGACAAACTGAAAATGTTTTATTTTTTCCACAAATTATGATATCTAACATGCAAAATCTTTTGAAACTTGAAAACCCAAATAAGCATTATGCCAAACATGAAAAACATATATCAAAACTGAAAACATGCATGTACATGTACACTTTTCAAAACACACAGTTTATCATTCCTTGGCTTGATTTGAAATTAGAATGCTTTGAAAACTAGCAACTGCCTCTGATTGGTGACTTAAAAGACGCAGAGCGTGAAACTGCAATTTCCAAATCTACACCTGCTGAAAAGGTTGTGTGTTCATAAAATAAATATTGTGGATTTACAATCATGCAGTATTTTGCCACCTTTTTTAAAAACTCAATAGTAAACTCAGCCACTGATCGCAGCAATCATGTAATTTTCAAAGCATGTGATACATAAAATAAGACATAAAAATATCAAGACCTGTTTATATACTTTCCAATGACAGTGTTCATTTTTTTGAAGTTTACAAAACTTCAGCCAACAACTTCAGGCATTCTTGGAACTTGCAACATATATCTAAAAATTCCAAAATTGATTTTTGAGGATGTGAAATAATTTAAACCCGGGAGAATGAAACAATACAACCAGGCACATGCCACATTGCAGCTTTGCATATGGGTTAACTCAATAAGCTGAATGGGATCCTAATTTAGAATTTACTTTATTCTGGTTTTTTTTAGACAGATAGAAAACTTTTTTTAAACCTGTCAACCAAAACTGATTTCCACAAGGGGCATGCACAAAAGTCATAGAAAGCTTGATACATTTAAAGAATTTTAGAAGCCATAATATTTACAAAATTATGAAAGAAATATGGTATTATATATAATGTAATTAACTGCATGGTATAATGATCTATTTACAGGTTATTACATTTATTAGCTATCAATTGAGTAGCAATTTACTTTCGAAAGGAAGAAAGAGATTTGCTCTCTCCATAATACATAAATTTGTTTTCATATTATTAGATAATGTTAGATGTACAATTTTACTCTGTCTATATGCCAGACACCAGTTGGCACTCAAATTGGGCCGATTAATCAGGTTATCTGCTCAATTGTGTCCAGTCAACCCATTAAGCTGTATTGCACCCTAATGCACTCAGTACTTTATTATTTTACTCAGTGTCTATAAGACAGACAATTTTAGTTGTCAAGGGAGAGTGTTGGCACTCAATTGGTTAAATGGTAAAGTTATTAAGATATACAACATAAACAGGAAAAGTACATACCTTTTTCGAAAGGGTTCATTTGTCAAAGTAATCAACAAATCTTCAGGAAGGAACTTGGTGAAATGTGGATTCAACTTGCGATGAATATCTACAAAATTTTAAGATAAATTTACTGAGGATGTAAATGATCGACTAGTAACTGGGGTACATAAAATATATCCAGGGTTGTATAATGTCATTCCAGAAAAATCCATGTACCTCCCGCAGGAGATTGTAAGTTAACCCTGGACGGCAGAAAATTTCTTCTTGGGGGCAGCGCAGATCTTTTCCGGAATGACAAAATAAACAAGAATTATTATTAAACAATTATTACTTTTTTGTACAGGCCATTAATTTGCACAATGCAAAATGCAACTTCTGTAGTTTCGCTCAGCTTTTACAAGGTTAGGAACGTAACTCTAACCCCCCAACACTTTTGGACAGCTTTTACATATCACCTCTGAGCGAAAGTACAGAAGTTGCGTTCTGCATTCTGCAAATTACACCCGCCTGGCCATAAAGCTGCATTGTGCCCTGATGTACCCTATTTTATTATTTTAGTTTATAAACACCAGACAATTTTCAGTCCTCGAAATTAGCATAAATCCTCATCGGCAAAAAATTGCCATAGATATCTTTGAGTTCGGCAGCAATTTTTTTTCTTTAAAAAGTCCTTAAAAAATAGAAGATATATAGTATACACTTGTTCATCGACGGACATGGAAGAAACTCCTCACGTTATATACTGTAATGAAAAATTATTTGCAGACTCTTCAAAAGCAAGAAAATAAAAAAGACAAAGGTTTAAATTAAATGTTCGCACGTCCATATTCATGTTGCCACTAATAACGTTGAACGACATTATGAGTGGGTGGGTTTTTATGTGAACTTATCAACGTTATCTCGTAGAAATTTGACAATTAATGTCCAAAGTATAAAGTATCACGGTACAGATTTTGTATCATAAATACGAAAGTCAAAATACGGCTGAATATTGATCGACATTATCTGGAGTAGTTGGGTGGGTGAAGAATTAACATTGATACGATGTTATTTGTTGGATAGCAGCAAAGCTAAGAAGAATCAATCGAATAATGAAGCCATGAAGGTATTTATACCTTCCAATCGAATAATGGAACCATGAAGGTATTACCATTAAATGGCAAAATTCTTCGACGGCAATCAGCCATTGATAATTTCCTTTTCAGCGGCATATCGGCGGTAATTGCCGTCACTAATGCACATGTCATCGGCCATCCCCGGAGGGGGGACCCCGGGCTAGGGCGGGGAAATATGAAAGGAATACACGGAGATTGCACTGCTTTTATACCCTAGGGAGCGGGGAAAATTCATTAGTTTGTCTCAAAACCTAATTCTGAGGCAGGGGAATTGACCTTCATGACGCCATCTTGGAAACGTATAAAAAAGATAAAAAGACTGGGACCGATCGCTTTTATAAACATGGAGGGCATCACAGAAAAGGAATTTATAAAGTATGTCAATCAGACTCAATCTAATGAATTATACATTTCAAAATGGCCATCAGGTCACCATTTTTGTAATCCAATGTTATTTATGACTTGTTTTGTGTACTCTTCGAGTTATTTGAATTGAACATGTTCGAGAATACAATATTTTTTTAAACAAAATTTCATAGTTTGTGCTGATATTTATTTAATGTAGTTTTAATATATTTATATACTGTTCTTAATATCTCAAGGTCCTTGTTCAGCATGGTGAGAGGAGAAAAGTAGTTTCCATTGAAAAAGATGCAACATTTTGACATGACTTCACAGTTTATGTCTAGAAATTGCTCACAACTAATAAATCATAAATAAGTACTCATCTTTACAAGCCCCTGAGGGCGGGGGAAAAGTGGGAGATTGACAAGTATTCTTGCCCCACAGGGTGGGGAAATTTGCACAGTTTTATGACTGTGAATTCAAAGTCCCGCCTTAGCCCGGGGTCCCCCCTCCGGGGATGGCCGATGACATGTGCATAATTTTGAGGACTGGGTTTTACTTGTGAAGGGAAGAGTGCTCAATGACAAATATGGTCTATTAAAACAATTTAATGATGTAAAATATATTGCCTCCTCAAGATCTTTCTCCTCGATGGTTTCAACAATTTTATACCTTACTTAGTCTTTTTATTGAATTGGTCAGTGCTAACAAAATCGGATCACGGTTTTTATTTCGACAATCCACCAAACCGATGCACGACTGCACGTGCAAACTACAAACTTTGTGCCGAAATTTCGCACTTAATTCGACCCCGATTTCCTAAAAATTCCATCTACATTAGCCATCTAAGTATTCTACTACAAATACTGATATTAAATAAAGCATATTACCTTCAAATAAAGGTATGATTGATCAATATAAACTTGCAGAATTTTTACGCCATATTTGTAATGCGCGAATCAAATCGAAACCTTGACATCCCCCCCCCCGGGCATACCTGGGGAATTTGCTTGTTTAGTATTTTAAGAAGGCGGGAATTTGACTTTTTTTCTAGTGGAAGGTGGGGAATTTGAAGGGGGTCGGGAATTTGAATTTTTCTTTTAAACACGTGTGCAGAATCCAAAATGGCGTCAATAATTAATGGATGAGTTCAAGGTCTTCAAGTGCAAAGGAATTAACTCTGTCCTTGGTTGGCTACAAGAAAACGGCTTTGAACGATTGAAGAGAGTTTTTGAAGGAAAGAAAAACTTTGAAATTCCAAAATTGCGAAATGCTGTAGCTTCCAATTCGTACATGGGGTGGGGCATTTGAACTCCAATTTTTCCCAATACGTGGTGTATTTGAACGGGAATTACAAATATATGTAGGGAATTTGACCTGACCAAAACGTCAAAATCCAAATTCCCGGGGGTATGCCCGGGGGGGGATGTCAAGGTTTCGATTTGATTCGCGCATTACGTCTGAAATGTTTATACATTTGAAAACAACACTGTCGCTCCTTCCTAGCTCTGTATATTAATAAATTTACCGTCCATATACAGTATATCAGTACTTGATTGAAAGACCGTCATGCATAACATAAATTTATATATTGCGTAGATTCTCAAAGATTTACTCAATATTCACGTCTGAAATGTTTAAATTTATACATTTGAAAACAACACTGTCGCTCCTTCCTAGCATCGTGATCTACGGCTTCATAGCGCATGCGCATTTGCCCTGCTATAGAAAAAATCGGGTGTTCCGGGGGGAAAGATCCTTTACACAACATGAGAAGCGAATGTTCTGAAATTACAAAAAATTACAATAACGACAACGATTCCTCGAGATTTTTGTGAACTTGGCAAAAGGACAAAAGAATATTTAAAGAAAATAAATAAAATTGCTTAAATAACCTTCAAAGCACTGACTAAGTACAATAAATCACTGCGAACATAAATCGTATACACCCCCCGGAAAGTTTACTCTATGATTGACTGACTGATTCGTGTGAATTCGCCAGCCATCACAATAGTGTGAAGTGAAACTTCACACTAAAAAAGAGTAGTTTTTTAAACAAAAAAGAGCAGCTAACGAAACGTTAGCTTTCTAATAAATATTTTAAACTGTATTTTTGTTATGGCTCTTTTACGTATTTTATGCTGTGCATTAACATTTATCAAAATGGGCAATGAAAATATGAGCAATGAAATTGGTATGGGCAATGAAAATTGCTTCATCTATCTTATTGCTTCGTCTGAAAGAGCATGAAAAAATAAGCCGATTGGCCGTTTAATGCTCTATTCTATCTCATCTAGTTCCGAAGTTATACGCAAAAATGTGCAAAATATAAATTGCTGATTCAGCACAACGTGTGACGTCATTAGCTGGGTAAGTATGTTTATTGAATACTACACTGAAGCATAGCTCGGTTATTAAGGGCCCAAATCAAATGAAATTTTGGATACTGATTGTACATGATGAGACGCATGGAAAAACACTTCTAATTTTGTTGCCAAGGTAACAATGTCGCTCCCAGGCCCCTTGCACCAATTTTATAAAACAGCTTTATTCAAGGTACTGATAAAAATAAAATAATATCAGAAGTATGTGTACGATACCTATGCATGCCGAAAGTTTACTTGCATGATAATAATTCGAAAATGACATACACATAGAGAAATGCAACTAGTTATTCAAAATCAGTGTAAGGGGCCTGGGAACGACTGTGTTGCCTTGACAACGAAATTAGAAGTATTTTCCCATGCGTCTCATCATGTACTATCTGTATGCAAAATTTCATTTGATTTGAGCCAATAATAACTCAGCTATGCTTTAGTTTACTATTCAATAAACATACTTACCCAGCTTATGACGTCACACATTGTGCTGAATCAGCAATTTATATTTTGCACATTTTTGCGTATAACTTCGGAACCAGATGAGATAGAATAGAGCAGTAAACGGCCAATCGGCTTATTTTTTCATGCTCTTTCAGATTAAGCAATAAGATAGATGAAGCAATTTTCATTGCCCATACCCTTTAAGATTATGAAATACAAAATTGTGTAGAAACGTCTTTTGTTCTTACTTGATCTTCCGGACATTTTATTCACAGTATTCCACCCCTTCCGACAATTAATCATCTTCACGAAGATACTGAACCGGCTTATCCTTGTAAAACATTATTTTCCGGATTTATTTCTGATTGCAATTTGCACCTCCGGCAGTTGCCACTGTTATCACCTTTATGAAAAGCTTTTTGACGGCATAGTTGCCGGTAATCAGGGTTCATAATCTCAAAGACCAAAAAAATTCAAAGACTTTTTCTGCCTAGTTTCAAAGATTTTTCAATAAAGACCTTTGAAAGATCAAATTGATAACAGGTTAACCAAACTCACAGGTTAACCAAACTCATAATTTAAGATAACATGCCTGCATGTAAGTTCTTAATACTGTAATTCTTAGGGACCGGTCATTATTTATGGAAGGGGGGAGGGAAAAAATAAGGAGGACATATGTATAAATAAATGACTAGAAGGGGGGGAAGCTATTAAATTTTTTCAAGAAAATGAGGGGGGTTGCAATTAAATTTGAAGGAATTTGCTTTTGAAATAAGCCTGGTATCCATTCGGTTGTAAATATTGCGACTAAATCATGGTCATCTGGATATATCTTTGTGTGTGCTGTATGCAAATCAGTCTTTACTGATTGCAGAGACAAATTGACAATGTATTATTACAGCAGCTATGTTGATGTGGTTAAATACATTTAAGCAAGGTTAACGGCGGATGTATTATACTTATTATGCAGGCCACGTCCGCTGAAGGGAGTCTGTGACGTCATATCGATCAAAGGGGGTTGTTTCGTGCCTTGTGATCAGTGCTTCGGTCTGGGTTTTCATTCTACCATTGCATGCTTTGCCTAGCTGCAACACGTTTAGCGCTTCGATACTTTTTCCCCACCCACCCACCCACCAATGTTTATTCTAGAGGATTTTATCTGGTAGTATGTCATTTTATTTTATATAATTTTTAATCTCATATGAAATAGGATGTATAGACGACTATACATTGTATTTCGCTTCCACTGACTTGTCAGTGTGACTGGTGCCGGAGGTATGCCTTGGCAGAATTCAAGAATTGTCATGGCTATCTCCTTTTGCTGCTAACATTTATCACTTATTTACTGAGAGTCTGAAACCGAGGGAAACAGTGTGTTTTCTGGATCCGAGATTGCCGTTGTTCACAACAACGGCGGACAAGGGGCCACAAAACGCACTGCTTCCCCGAGGTCTCAGTAAATAAGTGTTTTATTATACATCAATGGTCAAAGAAACAACAAGTTAAAGAACAAATGAACGTAAATACATGAAATATTTTATTGTTAAAACGTTAAAATTAAACACTGCAGTTACTTAAAGCGAAAGTTTAAACTCTCACGTGATATGCTCTCACGTGATATGCTCTCGACCAATAAAACACTAGAAAAATGCGACTTTGACTATTGATATATAATAATTATCACTTATTTACCGAGACCTCGGGAAAGCAGTGTGTTTTGTGGACCAGAGACCGTCGATGTTACCCGAGGCGAAGAATTGCATTTATCTGAAGTCACGTGACCACAAATCAGCCAATCACGTTTGGTGTTCACGCTAGCTATATAACAATACTGATTGTTACTCTCATTGTTGCTGCGCAGCTGCTATGGCAATAATTCATGCCATCAAGTCTAGTTGCAACCTTCGACCACAAACGGCACCTGCCTCCAAACACTAATACTCTGCCGTTAATTTTTTTTAATGGAAACCTGATTTTAGTGTTATTATATATAAAAATACTACTCTTTTAATTATAATTTTCTGCTAATATATATTTTTGGTCGATGTTTTTGTCTTGTCAACTCCATATTTTTATTTAATAATTAACACTATAACGCCTTGGGGCCCATTTGGCGAGTAAAAGTGAAAAAATGAGGGTGTCAAAGAAAAATATTCTAAATTTCTGCTCTTTTAGGGGGGGGGACCAATTTTAAAAATTTAGGAAAGAAAAAATTCCCCTCCCCTCTTCCATAAATCATAATGACCGGTCCCTTGTGTAGAGATATCCTTTGTTCTTACTTGATCTTCCGGACATTTTCTTCACAGCATTCCGCCACTCCGACAATCATCTTCACAAAGATACATTTAGATACTGAGCCGGTTTATAGTTGTAAAACATTTCCTGTTTTATTTCTGATTGCACTTTGCACTTCAGTTGTTGCCACTGTTGTTTATCACCTTTATAAAAGGCTTTTTGACGGCGATCTTTATAAGTTGCTATGCCGGTAATCAGGGTTCATAATCTCAAAGACCCACAAAATACAAAGAGTTTTTCTGCCGCGCCTAGCCAGTTTCAAAGATTTTTCAAAGACCTTTGAGAGATCAAATTCATAACAGGTTAACCAAACTTCCCAGCGGGCAAAATGACGTTTATCCAACGTTGAATCAACGTTGGAAATGACCTTCCAGACGTTGGATAGACGTTGAAAAAGGGTTGACTATGCAAATTGGATCGACGTTACTGTTTCGACGTTGAAACAACGTTGAAATTAGGTTACCAATCTCGTCAACCATAATTCAACGTTGAATCCACGTTAAAACAACGTTGAGATTGGTTCACAAATCGACGTCGTACATTTAACCATGAATGAACGTTAATTCAACGTCTGTTGGCTGCTGTTGAACCAATGTTTGTAAAACAACGTTAGAGCAACGTAGATATTAGGTTGTCGACGTCGCAACCTTAGCTTTTTTCTACCAAATTTCAACGTTGACACAACGTCGTGTGCCCGGTGGGTTATAGGTCTTACTACCGTACCATTTTTTTATTGCGTTTAATCCAACTATTTGAATTGAAGATAACATGCCTGTAAGTTATTCATATACTGAGTTAAAGACCCAAACTGAAGCTCTTGTTCAATAGACGCACTTTAGCTGTTTATCTTCCTATGTTTTAAATGTTCTGGATTTATTTGTGATTAAGTAGAGTTGTTATGTGTTACCAGTTATTTAAAATCGCCAAAACACATTAAAATAGCCCTCAAAATGCTGAAAATTGCCCTTTATACCTACTCGATCTAGAGTAAACATTTTCCGGGGAGAGCACTGACCCCCAGGCCCCCGTAAAAGTTAATTTTATTACATTATGCATGATACCGCGAGAGTCCAAATACATTTTCACATACATAAAAAACAAACTTCACTCGAATTAGCGCAGGGTAAAATTGCTCGATCGGCCCCTTTGACTCTTAGAAATCCTGACTACGTCACAGACACAGTATAAAGTTTATCATGAGTTTCAGTATAAGTTCGCTAATTTAACTTCTAACTTGTCAAGTTGATTTTGTTTCTCCTTCACTGTATTTCTAAAACTGATTGACTTGCAGCAGGCAATTCATTTCATCATTTTTAACACACTTGGGTTGCCTTTGTAGCAAGATCATATCATCTGAAACGGTGTCACAGACTCTTAATTAATGTTACAATTAATTATACGAAAATACTATGAGCTCAATCACCGTGACTGTGCATGCGCATATTAAAATAAACTCAGACAAAAAACATAACAAACACCTCTGTTTAGTTTCTATTTAACAAATAGATAAGATTTTGTCGTGGTCTGTTCAGTTATAGATAGACAGTATGACGTCATAATGTGGGAAGAACCAAAGTGGCTCACGAGCCGCCGAAGCGAGTGTTATATAATAAAAAGACAAAACCCAAATTAAACAGGTAAATATAGCTTACTTTTTATATATCCACCCAAACATTTGGAAATTTGAAAGCTGAAATTTTACACTAATATTACGCGTACATGATCTATACATATAATGGAATGCTATTGGCTACCTTAATTGTGATGTAATTCCGTGTGTCTATACGTCCTCTAATGGATCGGCTCTCGACCAATGAGAGCGCTTGAATTCTTAACGTTATTAGTATAAATCTTGATAGACTATGACTTCTAGCAAGTCAGCTCGCCCATTTGTTGTACGTGTATAATGGAATGTGTTCAGAGCCTTCAGTTGAGTTGTACGAGATTGCATTATATTTTACTCAATCTTTTAATTATCGCCATCAAAGTATCAGGTATATGTTATGAATTTTATATAAGAAAAGATGGAATATGTATATATATATATATATATATATATATATATATATATATATATATATATATATATATATATATATATATATATATATATATATATATTATATAGTATGCGTATTATGCGTTTTAATGGCACCTGTTACCTGTACATCATCACAAAAATTTTGATTACAGTGTGCTTGCAATGCCGATAACATTATGATGAGCTATAAAGTTATTAATGCTATATATATTTACAATTTAAAATTTAGATATAAAAAATTAAGGTAGGGCCTTTCTATCAATGGTATTTCTATTAATGGTATCATAGTTTAGAGTTTTAAAATTCAGTAACAGTGACATGTTTGCAACTCGAATCATACTTCGGAAAAGCTTTTCTTAAAACGGTCAGTATAAGTTTTAGACGACAACCAGTTGTTGAAATTACGTAAACTATAGTTAACGTTTTCTCTAGTATCAGGTAAAAGATGAGATAGCCAGTTACCACCAGTTATCTTTTTAATCATCGCACATCTAGACTGAGCATTGCGTCTCTCATCCTAGTGACGCAGTGGCGTGCGTAGCTAGCGGTCCTGCTCAGCAGGACTAAAACTTTCCACAAAATATACAGAAATGATAGTCCAAGTTTCCAACAAAAGATTACTTGTTTATCTTGAAACTTTAAAAATTTATCATTGTAATTTTTCTGGTCTTATTTATGATTACTTTTTAAAAATTTCCGGTTTCTATTTCATTAACGCAATTGTACAGCCTGTTACTTAGCAACTGCAACTCTACAACAGCTCATTTCCGGTCCCTATATTGATTTACACCGACTCTTTTTTCACTCCTGCTAATCTTCAGCGACAGGAGTCGCTATAATACTTAATACTAGGATACCAAAAGGTAGCGAATTGCTGCCGTTGATCTCCTCATAGGGAAATAATATACACTTAATGTCTGCTCCCGAGGGAAATAGTTAGTTTTGTTTTTCCGACAATCTCAATGTTTCCCGAGACGAAGTCGAGGGAAACATTAAGATTCGAGGGAAAACAAAACTAACTATTTCCCGAGGGAACAGGCATTAAGTGTTTTGTTATATAGCGACGAACAAAAATCAACTTCAACAACATTCATACAACAATTGCCTTCGTGACAAAAACTCTATAGTGTAAACGAGTTTAAAATTAAAAGAACCTATACTTAAACGGTTTCAGCAGCATATCTTGTTGCCTGTTGTGTATTTTTCTTCTCTTTTATATTCTTTATTTGAACACAAACTTGGAAAATTGTAGTTTCTAATTATCTGAGTTGTGCCTCCATTTTGTTTATTTGTTTATTTATGTGACCGGTCGGGGCGGACAACAATTTTTCACTTGTTGCCCGGCGGGAAACATTGCATTTATCTGAAGTCACGTGACCACAAATCAGCCAATCACGTTTGGTGTTCACGCTAGCTATACAGGGTGTATCAAAATAAACGCAATTCATCTTTTGTGCTTTATAACTTTCGAAATACTATTTTTAGTTAAACGCTTTTAGGCTTACTTCAAAGCCTGTTCTTTTCTCTTTCAAACAAACTATTGTCCTTGTCTCCAATGCTAGTAATAATTGCACAGGAAAAGATTTAGTAAAACTTATCATTTTTAGTTGCTGTTTAATTATACAAGTTTACTATGTTATTGTTTAGTCAGTTTAAATGTTAGAATTTTCTTCTTTAAACTTTAATGTTGTCGTCACTACATCTGGAAAACCACGTAAGAACAAATTAAAAGTATCTTAAAAGAGACCAGGTTGTTTGAAAATCCTAAACGAATGCTAAAAATCGTCAAAACATTCTGGTGTCTGAGCCAGAGTGTCATCGAATTGCGATGTAATGTAAACAGAAATTATAGCAAGTTGATGTCAGTCAGCTTAGATGGTCCAAGCCAAAATTATATCGCATTTGAAGTTTCAAACTGAGTTAAAAATAGTGGAAGAAAAGCCGTAATTATACTTATTGTTACAATCCATTTAATAAAATGCAACATTTTTTGTTTTAATGAAAAAATCAGTTATTTTCATGAGAACGTTTAGTTATTCCATCTCAATTTTTTTAATCTCCAATCGCAATAACGTAAAGTATTATTACCCGCGAACCAATGAGTCAAATTTAAGAAACAACCCATTGTTAGAAAGCTGAATGGCTACGCTTTAAAATGAATGTAAACCTTAACGTTTTCGTCTATTATTTGTTTAGCAATTTACATTTCAGTCGGGGATTGCGCTTTTTTTTATACACCCTGTATAACAATATGCCTTAATATATCAATATAGAAGTGTTACGTCACACAGTTTTGCATCTAAATAGTAGGTAAATATTTTCCTACATGTTTCTCAAGTTGCATTGTTATTGTTACTGGTATTTGAAAGGCCATAATTCATTAATTCATAAACACTTCGCTATGTAAATTCATAGACAATCAAACGAGACAATCGCCAATGTTGCTGACTCGACATCCGTGATACGCTTCAAATTCAAATTGCCTATAAATATACAACAGACACAAATAATTGTAAAAAAAAGATATGTACAAGCACCACTAAACACTGTTAAAGCGCTATGAGATAAACAAGAAAGTGAAGAAACCAAAACCATATAATCTATACAGTGGCCAAAGTCCGTCTGAGCGCCGCAAAACCGGTTTCCAAAATGCAACACGAGGACGCTTCAAATTCAAATTGCCTATATGTCGGAAACTCCAATAATGTGGGGAACACGTTATACTTTCACAAAGTCACAAATCACGAGTCATAAACTTGTACGTTTTAAGATAGTTTTTTACACCCAACACCAAAAGTACAAAGTTATTATTATTCACAACCCCTAAATCACTAAGATTATAGCACCTAAAAGAATCACGTGATATATCATCCACGTCATTACCGCCTAATCTGTATAGTTTCCGACATATAAATATACAACAGACACAAATAATTGTAGAACATAACCATATCTGCAAGCCCTACTAAACTGGCACTCTTAAAGCACTATGAGATAAACTAAGAAACCAAAACTACAAATATATTAAAATGACATAAATTCACTAGTATATTGAGGGCCTTCCAACAACGCGGAAATTTATACCTATATAAACAAACACAAATAATTTTGTAAATATAGGACGATTTCTATACTATAAAACTCTTTCAAAGCAAGATAAACTAAAAAAAAAAAAAACTGCATATTTTTAATACTCACGTTTGTAATTTTCGAATACTGTATCTTCGCCAGAGAAAGTAGCAACAAAACCAGTCCAGAGAGAAATCGTGAAACAATGCAGGAAGTGCAGTCGCCTTATTTTATATTAATCTCGCGCATTGCATTTTTGTCCCGTGAAATTGCATTGTGGGTCTATCTGTCAATCACAAATTGAGAATTTTGCCAGCTACATGAATTAGGATTTGCCGCCTCGCTCGCTCGCTGAAGGCTCGCCCGCTGCGGCAGCAACAAGAAATCCTGGTTTCTGATTGGATAATTAGACCTGCACATGCTCAAAACAGCTGTTTACAAAGTCGAACATGACTAACATAACGTGCAACGCGAGCCTGCGTTCAGTGTTGGCGTAATTACGAATACTTCATGTTGAAACACTGTTTGGAAAATATAGGCGAGGGGTTGTTGCATGCATGTATTTCTAGTTTAAAAATAAGTCAACGGCAATAACAGACATATTTTTGTGCGCGTGCATTTTCACATAATATTTTTAAAACATCGCTTCCATGCCTTTGATAATATCCATATTTTACATTTTTTTCATTGTTTATATCGTAGAAGCTGTTGATATCCAGTTCCAAGGAATAGAACCACAGACTGTACTGGTTGGTGATAATGTTACATTTCGCTGGCTGTATACTGGAAACGAGAAACCTCTTCTAACTCTGTTTAATGTCTTGGAAGGTGCCAATTCAGAAACACTGATATATTATGCATTCAGCATCGATGGTAGTGAACCACAACTATTTCCGAAAGTTATAGAAAAGTATGCAACAACGGCAAATTGGTCTGGTGATATTTCAAAAAACGAATTCGCGTTTACGCTCACAAAGGTGAAGGAATTTTCTCATAAGAAGAATTTTACTGTACATATTGAGCACGACGGTAACATACGAGAAGATGCTTACATAACATTGTTCATTTCAGGTTGTTATTTTTATTATTCCTTATCTAATCGTGAAGTATAAATCTGTATAATATTCTGATTTCTGAGTTCATTCTGCCTTTTCATTGAAACTTTTCATAAACGTTTAAAAAGTCGCTTTTAATTGAAATTTTGAGTTTCATGTTTCTGCAAGATTAATTAAAGTGATTATTAAACAGAAAAAATATCACAGTTTCATAGCAAAATGCCTAGCTTGTTCATGCATTTTAGCAAAAGTGCAAAACGAAACAAAAAACAAGTCAACACTGGGTTGCTATATAGGAATATCTTCTGGGTTGCTATATAGGAATATCTAATCGTGAAGTATACATTTGTATCATATAATTCTGAGTTCATTTAATTTTGTCTTTTCATTGGTTGAGAGTCATGAGCTAGCTTTAAAGCTAGAATACAGACTCACAGGTGATTCCATTTCAGCTAGCTATAGTATTATATCTTTATGTCAATAATCACTGAGTTTCTTCAGGAGCTCGTCACAAACCAATGTAAAAATTCTGTATAAAATTATCGTGTTACCATGCATGACAACTACTTTAAATATTACATGTTCGGAAAATGCAATGGTTTTGTCAGCAAGGCGAGGGTTTCTGCATGCTTGTATTTTCTGATACGAGAAATAGCGAATTTTTCGCATTACCTAAGCCAAAAACAAACAATGTGAAAAAGGCGCCTTGCCTACAGGGGAGCTGATGCTTGGAATAAGCTTTCCACAGGAATAAATTAATAATCGAAAAGCATCTCTAGCCAGGGACGTCGCTATAGGTGTGCGTGTGTGTGTGTGTGTGGGGGGGGGGGTCTGAACACCCCACCAATAATTCAAACGTTGGTCAAAGTTGGTCAAAATAGAACTGATATTTGCCCAAATTTGGTCTAAATGAAACTGATATTTGCTTAAAATTGAAGGTAAAACTTGTAAAAATTTGGTAAAAGTTTGGGATAAAAGATGGTCGAAGTAGGTCAATGTTATGAAATGGTTCGCAATTTTAACAATTTTAAAGCATTTGTTATGTTTGCGGTGAAAAAATTGGGAGCCTTGCTTATCTTGGTTTCGACCATTTTTGAATACGCTTCTGTTAATAGTCCGGAAAAATGTTTTTGACTATGATTATAAGTTAGTCCGGAAAATGTTTTTGACTATATTATTGACTATGCTTATGTTAGTCCGGAAATATTTTTACCTCCCCCCCCCGTCTGCAACATTTTCGGGAAAAATTAGTACGACTTGGTCAAAGTCCTGGAAATGTTGGTCAAAACATGACGACCCCCCCAAATGTTGATGGCTTCGCGACGTCCCTGTCTCTAGCTTTAAAACCAAAATGAAGCGAATATACAAATTCATTGTATATTATTCATTGTATGTACAGCCATTGAATTAAATTTTAAACTGAATAGTGCATGCACACGGCCTATTGGAAATCTCGTTGGCTTTTTCCATTCTTTTTTATTTCTAATTAATATCATTGTAAATATTACAGTTTTTAAGTCAAGTCAATAAAGTAAATTCAGATTACACAACGATTACGATTCGATAACTTGTAAACACGCGGTGATTGGCAAAAAAATTATGTTAGTGTTCACACTAGAGCGGAAATGATAAAATTATCGTTTGACGACAACGACTTAATTATTTTTTCAGTCGGACGATAACGACAAATTTTCAATCGATCAATCAGCGCGCGTATACAAGTTATCATGCATAAAGTCTAAGACTAAGAGCAGAAAATGTGTATGTAAATGATCTAAGAGTTGATATTCAGTACTACACATATAAGTCTTGACCCGCAACTAAGGACGAAACGGGCTTATATTCATTTATGCAAATTTATCTCGTAAAAATATGATTGCAGGTTGGATTAGTGAATATATGCTATTAGTATTACTATCTTCTTATTAACCGAACGCGAGGTCTGTGTAGAGACTATCGGACCGAGGTCTTTTTTGTACAGATTTAACAATTATTCGCCTCAGGCTCAGGCTCGGTGATTATCGGGGAATATTCACCTAATTGTTTTAATATTTTTACACAAGGTTTTGTGTTTTTTGAGACTGAATTTATTTTAATTTCGCTTATTTCTTTGTCAGTAAACTTCCACAAAATGGGTAGCCGCCATTTTGAAAATTTCTCTTTTGTTATATTCACCTGTAGGTAATATAACAGCTATATTCACCTGCATGTAGGTGAATATAACAGCTTATTTTTCACCCTGCTCGGTTTCCTTTGTTCTTGTCGGGGAATATATTCAATATTCCCCTCTAATCAATTTCCGTTTAATAATCCCCTCTAATATTCACCTGCAATTAATAATCCCCTCTAATATTCACCTGCAATTAATAATCCCCTCTAATA